TAGAGAAGCTTAGAATTTCATCTGGGAAAGTGACAATGTAAGTCACTTAAGTGATTAGGGAAGCACTGTGGCATTGGGGACACTAAAGCTATGGCATTAGGGAAGCACTATGGCATTGACGGATTGGTTTCCTTAAGCAACTCAATGAATTGATTAAAACTTTCACGAGCAACATTATATTCTGCATTGATGCTTAACATCTTCACATCAACAGATAACTCTGAGTGAGTGGTGCACCCTTTCCAGATTGGTTGTTGGGCAGCATGCAACAAATCATAAAAATTATGTGCCTTCTTATTCGATAACTCTTATGTATTTTGTTCAAATTATATTCCAGTTGCATCATGAACTAATTTCTCAAGATTTGGTTGGATATTTTCAGCCTCAACTACATTAGTACTTGTAGAAAGACCGCATTGAGAATCAAAATTTGGCTCGTACTCACCATCAAAAGTCCAATACCAATACCGTGGCATGAATTCTCTGTGATATAGATCAACAGTTACATCATCTGGTCTTAGGTACACTAGATTTTTATATTTAGAACATGGACATTGAAACATTCCATCTGATATGAAGCTGGGTAGTTATTTCGCTTGCTGAATGAAAATGTTCACCCCATTAATGAATTCATCTTTTAATGTCTTTCATCCTTGAGACAATCGGTTATACATCTAACTTCTTTGATTTCTAATATCCATAACCTACATATAAGAGTAGATAAGTAATGGATTTTCACTTGAGTAGATTTAAAATTGAATATATGGAGATATTAACAGTAGAATTCAAGTGATGGTGAAATAGATGGGAATATTTTGTACTGCATCGAGCTTGTTGTGCGGTAGAAAATCTCCCTCAAACTTAAGGGAAAACCTTTAAACTGTAAGCGTTATTAACTCTTTTTTTTTGCAAGAACTCTCAATAACATTCCTCTTTGAACTTTATCATATGCTTTCTCTAAGTCAACAAAAATCATATATAGATCCTCCTTATTCTCTCTATATTTCTCCATCAAACCTCTCAATAAAAGTATGACTTCCATAATAGACCTACCCGGCAAGAATCCAAATTGATTTTGAAAAAATTATCAACAAAAAAATAACTAATATGTGCATCATCTAGAAAATGTCTAATAAGAAATAACATGAAGAAAAAAAAAAAATCTTACAATCGACAAAATCAGGAGGCTACGGAAAATCAAGAGGCGGCGGAAACTCGCGATCGAATTTTGGGAAACCGGTCTCCTTTCACCTGTGACGAAGACGGTGATCGTCAGTGACATCCAGTGAACGTCTACAAAGCTCGATGATGGCGATCTAGGGTGGGCGACACTGGGGCGACGAGAGAGAGAGATCAGAGATGCGAGAGAAAGACCGGAATGAAATGAGCAGCAAGACGGGTTGTGTTCGGAAATAGGGCTTTCGCCAGCGGACTTTCCGGCGTCCCGGACGCCAGAACATTTTTCGGCGCACGTTTTGTCGGTTCCAAGTCATTGAGTTGAAAATAGCCGACGTATTCTTTGCTGGTAAATGCGACGGACATATTCCACCATAAACTCCATCGGTAATAATGAAAAGCTGCTAATTTCTGACGTTACTACCATCACAATGGATGTGGGGAAGTTTTCGTTGTAAGATGCACCGGAATAAACACTGTTAATATTCATTCACATTATGCACCGGTACAAACGCCGTATTTACCTTGCTAGAACATCCAACGATATTCGCGTGTTTTCATGTAGTGAACTAGGAAGCACCGCTGTGGTGCCCAAACTATAAAACAATCTAAACACTTCTATATAGCCATCGGCCAAGATAGAGAACACTTGAACTTAGTGTTATTATCCACACTTCAACATCCTCCTAAACTTTATCAAACTCTGTCATCAACTTCAGATGATAAGATCACATCATAAACTAACCTCCCGCCATCACTTTTAACTATTTATCTCACATAAAAGTCACTCCATAAAGTGATATTTCAAATCATCTCAAACTATCCCAAATTGGACTAATCTTGGCATTCCTACTAATATACCATTCTAAACCTCTCATCATTCTACCATAAACTCTAAAACACCTCTCAAAAATGCTTATGCACTAAATTACACAATATTAACATGTGATCTTTACTAATAAGCATTCCAACCTTGATCTTAATGCTTATGCACTAAATTGCTTCCCACGCTCATTTTCTAAAATAGATTCTCATCTACTCTCTCATTATGGTCGGGGACAATAGCCAACCTACTTTTAGATGAGTGAAAAAGGAATGCAAGACTTTACTTTTTTGTTTGGTTTGAATTAAATTTAATGCTATGTAAATTATAAGAAGGTTATGATTGGGGTGGATGGTAGCCAGTGGTGGGCAGTAGCGGAGTGGTGGAGGCGGTCGACAAGGGCTGAGTCACAAATTTTTTTTTCATGTGGGGGCACAATTTATTGAATTAAAAAAACCTTTCATTTGAGCTTGGGAGAGACATTAGAGGTTTTATTTTTTTTAATTGTTATTATAAAAAGATAGAATATATGATAAAAAAAATTAAAATTGATAATGTTAGAAATTGATATCATCCGTACATATTATGTATAATATATCCCGCTAAATCTTCATATTTTGAAATAGTTGTACAATTATTTCATTATCAATACTATTAAATATATATTTTTTAAGAAAAGTAGACAATCATTCATCCATGAGTCTCCCATACGATTGTGTAGAAGATTATAACATTCATTGTAAAGAATGCTCATTTGACTATTATTGTAACAATTGGAAAAATCAAAGTAAGTTTTATAAGTAGAAACATCAAAAGATAAATATCATTTTTTCTAGTCTCCACTATTTTCTAAGAAAGTTCTCAAAGTCTTTTTAAATTCATAAATGAATCATTCAATCTCACATCAATAATAAAATTCTCAATTTGACTGCCTAATATGATGAGATCCATGTCTAAACAATCCAAGGAATAAAATTTTGCTAGGCTTATTAATCGTTCTTTATCAAAAGCTAAAAATGAATGACATTGATTCAAACATGTCACACACATAAGTAATATTATAGTTTTTTCATCAAGCTTGTTATTGAGCTCTTGAAATTGCATATTTATTACAGTATAAAATAATTAGATTTAGAGTCACTTGCATTTTGATTATGCATAATGGATTAACATAATGTGATGTTAAACCTAACTTTAAAATGCATAAGATAAGTATTATTTGTACAATTTCATCCCAAAGCTCATCAATAGCTATTGGAATATGTAATTCCTCATCCCAAGCCCAACCACTCCAATTTGTTAATTGATACAACATTTGGAAGTCAGCTTTCATATTCTTGAACCTAATCATTACTGATGATTCAGTGTAAAATATACCCAACCTCCTATTCAACACAACGACAAGTTTTGAACACTACTCCCTCCTTAAGTTACCATTACACATATTTTCATGCATGAATTGCTCAAAGAGAAGCTTGGCAAGCACGACGTTGTGCTCCTCGGGCCACTTAGGGTTTCAAGAGGTGCTTTTGGGTTGGCTGGAGTGGATAGAGATATCTTCAGCTGCATGAGGTTGAAAGCTACTACTAGCATGAGCTAAACCTTGCCTTTTAGAAATCTCTTCATTTCTATCATATATTCAAGAAAATACTAAAAGTATATAATTTGATTGATCTCGTATTTGTAAGTAAATTTTATAGAGTATTTTCATGAGTAAAACTCTTTTTTGCTTCACAAACTCTGCAATCAAGAGCGAACCCGTAATTTTTGAGATAGATGTCATTAGATGACTCGTTGTCGCTCACCGATTCAAAGTTTTCTTTGCCAACCTTGGTGTTAAACTTTCGCTTCATTCTGAATTAATTTATCATAATCATTTTACTGCCAAAAAATTAAATAACAATGCTCGAGGTAATCTAACAATAATTACTTTATCACTACATTCATTTTGAGAAGGGATGCTAACAATGAAAATTCAATATATTCAACTATTTTGATTTTTAGGTTTTTGTAACATGAAAGGTATAGTTTCCAATCAGGTACAAGCATCTCATTGCATCACACCCAAAAAAAGGGAAAAATTCATTGCGGCAAAAAAAAAATTATCCACAAAACGGTGTTTTTAATAGCATCAGTTATTTGAAATTAATAGTACTGCAAACTCTTCAAATACCTTAAGGACATCTAAAATGTAATAATTTCGTATCACACAATATAGTGAAAACAAAATAAAATATTTTAATACATGTTCTCTATGTACAAGCAATCAAATTAGCCCATACAAAAATTTTAACAATTTTCCCCAAAAAAAATAATAATTAACAATCTAGTTATTATTGTCCGTTGTTCCCAAAATAATAGAAGTTTTCATGAAAAATGTGAAGAAAAGCTAGGTTCCAGGTCCGCGCTACTCCAAGGCATACATTAGGCTTTGAGGTAAAAAAAAGCTCTCCACTAGCGGATTGTGATCTACACAACAAATGAAAAAGGTTGACTATCTGTTGCTTTAGGCGGATACAACGAAGCACATTAACGAAGAGGAGAAGAAGAATTCGTGATGTTGAGGCTGGAAGATGAATGTCTCCATTCGTTTGCAAAAATAGGGCGAAACTATAGTTGAAGACACCTGGGTCAGGGGTAAGTTTTCTGCTCCAACTTAAATCCCGTTAAATCCAACTACTCGAGGGATTCAATAAACCCCAAATTTAAGCCGTAAATTCAGGATTTATGGAATCCTGTGATTTAATACGCGCACAAAAATTGTTTGGCTGGATTTAGCTTAATCGGACTTAAATCCCGCTATAAATCCGATGCCAAACATCCCCTACATTTACTCTATTTTATTTTACTTTCACTTTGATTCCAATCAAACATCTCTTATATAACGTTGGTGGTCTGGTAGGCCGATTAGAGTTTACAGACCATCAAACGTTCTCGATGAATGTGACAGCAGACGGTTCTCATCATTAAAAAAAAAAAAAAAAACCTTATATAGCTCAATTACAACAACTGATTCAATGGGATCCATCCGTCGACTAGGCCAGCCTTTCTGTAGCATAGTTCATACCAAATTACAATTTTTTCAACTGCGATAGCAGCGTCCGGTCGATCACGGAGACCACTCCGTTTTCATTGCAACATGGAGTTCAGGCGCCGGGATTACCTCGCTGATGACTCAATCTTCTCGCTTCCTCGTACGCCAGTTCAGGATCATCCTCTCACTGCCATTCGCGCTATAGCGGCGGTTCAGGTCTGCTTAATTGTCTCGCCCTTCAGATTCATCGTTGAATCTAATAGATCGTCATGGCTTTCTTTCGGAAACCTCGTTCATCTTTTCATTAATCGCGGCAGAAACCTTAAGTGACGATGAAATGCCCTAGATAAACATAAATGCTCTATTATTTTCTCTACAGCTTGGTAAAAGCGATCAACTTCTTTAAAGTTACACTGGAAAACTATTAGCATTAAGTCAGTCGTGATTAACTTCGGAAACATGTTTCCTGGTGAGTGGAAGGCATGAATGATTCTAGAAATAGGCGTTGCAAAGAGGGGGCAGTGTTATTAGTTTGTTTTTATGGCGCTAATTTAGCAATGTTGTTATGCGCTTTGATGTCGACTAACCAGATAACTGTTTCGTGAAATCACTGTTATGATTATCGTTAAGGGATGGATTTACATACATTCTGCATAGTTTTTATGTATTTACATATCTAATATTAAATTTAGATGTTTGATCTTTTGTTATGTGGTATCTATGTAAAAAGCCCTTTTTAAAATGCTGCATGAGTTGAAGTTGTTTGATAAAAAAGCTACTGTGATATTAATGCCAATTGTTTGAATGATTAAATTAATACTATATTTTATTTTATGAACTTACTGTTCTCTTCATAAATAGTGCATTAGCAATTGATATAACTAGTTTGCTTTAACTGATTAATTTACAATGATATGTAAATGTACAATTTTAATGTGAATGACATTAGTAATTATTAGTCGATGTTACTAGAAGATAAATTGAATACTTAGATGCAATAAGTTGAAGTATCTTGGATCTATTATATTACAAAATAATGTTGATATTATGGAATTATTAATACTTGTAGTTAATAATTAGAGGCATCTTAAATGTATTATACAGTATGATACTATCATGAAAATTTTAAAGGAGAATATTATCAAATTTTATTTAGAAGATCATGTTTTATGAATTTGAGTGTTGGTAAAAAAAAGGTGGTTTGGGCAGTGGGAATATCATTTATTGCAAATAAGGTAACAAAAAATACAGTTAGGTAGTTTGGATATATACAACAAAAAAGCATAAAATGTACATATTCGATTGTCAGGTAAAATTTATGTTGAAGGAAAATGAGTAGATCAAAGATGTAGAATTATGATTCATAAAATCAATCCTTAATAACTGGGATAAGATTAATGATCATGATGAAAAATGCATGGTGTTTAAGAATACCATATTATCACTTTAATTAAGTAATAATTAATCTAATTTGTACTAATTAGATTACAATTTAAAACATTATTGGTGGTCCCATATCTAAACTTTGGATGAGAAAGATTAAAGTTTGATGTTAGATTGAAAATCAATTGTAAACTAATGCCAAAACTAATGAAATAAAATTTAATTTGAGTCTTGTTAATGCTAGGGTGTTCCCCAAAACTGATGTGACAGGGACCTAATATTATTGTGGTGAGAAGTAGGAAAGAGTTTTTTAGGATGCCATATATCAAGGTTTAATATTAATTCCACATATTTCTTTTATTTTCTATGGAGTTGCTGACAAAGGATATTGTAATTAATGTTTTTTGGTGTGCTCAATTTTCATATGACATAGTTCTACTAATACAAATTAATGAAATATAGGTTCTCTTACAGGCAAATTAATATAATTAATAGATATTATGATTCATAGGAAGATAAATATTATATGCATTCAAGAAATTAAATGGGTTGGAGGGAAGACTAAGAAGATTCATAATTTAAGATTTAAACTATGATATTCATGTATGATTCATACTAGAAATGAGATTGGTGTGATTATATATAAAGAATTTGAAGAATAATGTGATAGAAATTAATAAAATTGAAGATAGAATTATATCTTTATAGATTGTTTTGATGCTAAGATTATTAATATCATAAGTGCTTATACTCCTCAATTAGATTTAGATATGTGTTCAAAATTAAAATTTTAGATTAGCTTAGAAGAATTAATACAAAAGATATCTCTTGAAGAAAATGTTTTTATTGAAGGAGATTTAAATGGACATATTAGTAATAGGGTAGAAGATTTTAAAAGCATTCATGGTGGTTATATGCTTAGAGAGATTAATGAAAGTGATAGGACTATATTATATTTTTCTGTGGCTTATGATTTTATAATTGCTTACATCATGCAACAACAACAACAACAATAACAACAACAACAACATCAAGCCTTTATTCCACTCATGGTTTAAAATTGCGCAATATTAGGCTCGCCTTGAGGCCCGCCTTTGCGCAATTCCAGTAAAAAATGCCTCGATGCTTACGCCTCGAGTTTTTTTTATGAGGCTTGCGCCTCAACTTGGTTGAGGCCCGCCTCACGCCATATATATTAAAACTTACATAAATCTTGAAGAAAATGCCCGACATTGGAATCTATAGGAGAGGAGAAAGGGGAGAGAGCAGTTCATCATAATGATGATTCAATTGAAGAATCCTTTAGTGATGACAGTGCTGATGACTTATAAGTTCTTATGTGATATGTCATTGCTATTTATTTTTGGAAATTTGAATATATGTTAATGAAAAGAATACTGGGATTTGGGAAAGATAGAATTTTGAGTTGAACTATATTTCATGTTGTCTTATTATTGGGATATTTTGATTTCACTTCATATCTTATGCTTTTTTATGTTTTATATTATTCACTTATTAGTATATAAAAATTTTATCATTTTATGTTTACGCAATCTTTTGATTTTGAGGCTTACGCCTCAAAACGCCTTGAGGCTTACGCCTCGCCTCACGAATGAAAACGCCTCAATACCTGAATATGCAATTTTAAACATTGATCCCACTACGTGGGGATGGCTACATGAATCCTTTTCCTCCATTGTGTCCTATTAAAAGTCAAATTCTCGTTTAAATATAATAAAGAAAGGTCATTCCTAATAATTGCTTATATCATATTTAAGAAAAAAGAGGAGTATTTTATCACTTATAAGAATAAATATAATAATACTCAGATTGATTATTTTCTTATAAGAAAAATAAATTGTTTAGATTGCCAAGATTGAAAAGTTATTTCAAGTGAATGTTTATGTCCTCAGCATTGCTTATTTGTTTTAGACTTTAAGATAATATGAAAAATAAAATAAAATATTATCTAGGATTAGATGGGGGCATTTAAATAACACTAAAAAATAATTTTAAGATTATGATTGTACATTAGAAAGTTAATGTTGTGGGAAAAAATACGTAATGATATTAAAAATGTTGCAAAGGATGCATTTAAAGTATCAAAAGAAAAAGCTTCTAATCGTATAAACAATTGGTGGTCGAATCAAAATGTGCAAGAAAAGATAAAAAATAATAAACTTTGTTATAAAAATTTGTTTTGATGTAAGAATTCTAAAAATTAGGAAATATAAAAAAAGCTCATAAGGAGTTTAAGAAAGCAATATGCGATGCAAAGAATTTAGCTTTTAATGATTTATATAATAGATTAGATACTAAGGAGGGCCTTAGGGCCAAATATGTAAAACCGAAGTTAAAGAGGCTTTAAATAAATGAAGAGTGGAAGATGATATTCCAACAGAAGTGTAGAAATGTTGAGGAGATAAAATAATTTCTTGGCTTATGAAACTTTTCAATACGGGGGTGAACTCCTGTAAACTTTGCATGTATAACATTGTCCTTTTCCCTTTTTCTCAATTATATTTATATCATTTCTTAAACATTTATTTATTTATATTCTTATGTATATAAGTATATGTATGCCTTTCATTTTCACTTCTCGTTTCTTTCTCATGTCTTGTTCGTTCATATATATATATATATATATATATACTTTCTTATCTCATATACGTCTTCTTTCACATATCCATACTTGTACAAAAATTTATTTCGTATAATAGTTTTCTAACATTATATATATATCATAAGCTTTAAGCAATTGAATACTTGCTCCTTTCAAGGCAAACAAAAAATGTACAATAAAAGAAATTTCACAAATACCCACTTTGAATCTTCTAAGTCTTTGATTTTGTCACCACCTAAGGAGATACACAATAAAGAAAGTTACATATAATTAATTTTATCAAACTTCTCAATAACATCTATTTAAGTGATTCATACCTCAGTCTCAAATTTCGTTCTTGTTAAATTCCTTGAAGAATCCAACTCCTACTATTGATTTACTCCTTTCTAATTCATTAAATCCATACAATATAATTTATATAAGAAATGGTTAATTACAACAATTTAATAAAAACTATATCATAGAAAGATCACTTACAATTGGGAATCTCTAAATTCTTCTTCCTTTCCCAAAATCCTTCCCTTGCCTTCAATTCTTTTCTTTTTCTTCTATGAAAAGTATATCTAGGTTTAGATGAAATAAACCAAGACAATTTATACAAAAAAGGGAAGAAAAATTTTACAAACTTCCATCCTTCTCCCTCTTGACGATTCCTCTCACTTCTTCCTAAATTCCACTTCTTTAATGATAAAAATAGAAAAGGAGTTGTCGAATTTCATCTCTAATCACAACATTCCACCCAAAATAGCAAAACGAACCTTCTTCATACGAAAACGGACGTTGGCTCCTACGCTCGGTCCGCCCAGCTGCTCTCTGTCGCGAAAACAAGAAAGTTACGTGATCTGCTTTTCATGATTTAATAAGGAGGGGGTTCGGTCGGTTCAACCGAATCGGTTGAATGAACCAGTCATCACAGGGATTGTGACTTTGGGCAATCAAGTCCTTAATAAGAGTACTCATTTTAGATATCTCGGATATATTGTCCAGAATGATGGTGAAATAGATGAGAATATTATTTGTAGAATTTCAAGTTGGATGGTTGAAATGGAGGAATACATCGAGCCTGTTGTGTGATAGAAAGTACCCCTCAAATTTAAGGGAAAATCCTATAAGATGGTGTAAGACCTGCAATGCTCTATGGCGCAGAATGTTGGCCATTAAAAGAGAAGCATAAAATTAAGTTAAGTGTTGCATAGATGAGGATGCTCAGGTGGATGAGTAGCTTTACTCATAGAGATAGGATGCGAACCAAGCATATACGTGAAAAGGTTGGAGTAGCTCTAATGCAGATAAGATTAGAGAGAGTTGCCTTAGATGGTTCGACCATATAAAACGTTGGCCTTCTGATGTTCCGATTAGGAAAATAGATATATTAGATTTGACTTGTATTAAAAGAGATAGATGTAGAGGTATACCTAAAAAGACTTGGTTAGAAAATATTAGAAATGACATTTCTTTATTAAATTTAAATGAGAATTTGACTCATAACATGACACAAATGTAAAAAAAAGGGATTAATGTAGCCGATTTCACGTAGTGGGATAAAGGCTTGATGTTGTTGTTATAGTTCTAATACTCATAAAATATGAAAAGATAGAAAGTTGGATAATATGTTTTGAAGATAGAGGGTTTAGACTTATTAGAAAACACGGGGTTTTTATATACAAATTAGTGTTTATGATATTAACAATTATCAATCAATACTATTAAAACGGGTCGGGTCGGGTCGGGTTGAACAGTGTCGGGTCAATTTCGGGTTGGACCCGAACCCGACCCGTGACCCGTTTTTGACAGGTCTAATTTAAATGTTATGGGTCAATTATATAGAAGAATATTATATAGAACTTAGAGAATAAGGATCCATATGAGAGTATCATTTTTAAAGTTAAGGCTGGGCAATTAAAATGAAGAATGTGCAAGATAAATTTTACAAAATTGTAACAAGGCTGATGCTGTGTTTTTTCCAACTAAAATTCATTTATTCAGTTCATAGTTGTAACAAAATAGGCTTGCATGTTAAACCACATTTGAATACAATGTTAATTATAGGCCTCGATTTATGCACTTAAGTTTTTAGTTTGGTTTGTTAGCACTAACTTCAGGAATCTCCTCTGAGTAACTTGTCTTATTGGCATTACATTGGTATTTTTTGCAGACTAAGGATTGACAGTTCCCTGGGAAATTAGATTTGTGTGGTTATATAATATGAACAGCTAATATTACTAACTTTATTATGAAGATTGTGAAACCCGGCTGTCTAGCATATTGGTTCAGTTAAGACAAACAATATTTTTTAAATTGACAGTGATAAACATAATTCTAGTCATAATGTCATATGTTATCTGGCATAAACAGAATCAATGACGCCATTTAATAAAACAAACTACTGTATCGACAATGTGCATAATTTTCTGCTTAATCCTGGCTTCTGACAGTATGCATAGGCTCATTTCATTAGTTAAATCAAAATATATTAGTTTTGAAATGCAGGAGTTATGGCTCCTTTCCTGCACCCATTATGTAAAATTTATAGTTAAAGATTAGACTTGAATCATATTTAATGAATTTTGAAACTTTAGGAGTACTCTTTTAATTTTTAATATAAATGTACAAGAAAACCATTACTTCATCTTAATAATATGATATTGGTATCATTTGAACTTCTCTTCCTTAAATTATATTTGTCTAACTGGCCCAGTTATTTGCTATATTTAACATAAGTCAAGCGGCTTTCTGAAAGGTTAACAAATCAGATCTTCAAAGTTTTCACATCAAGGGAGCAATTTGACAAATCATAAAAAAAAAAGCTGCACAAAGGAAAGTGAAATCTCATTGCTGGGAAGCCAGTTCCATTCTTTTATCTCTCGCTAGGCTGACTTTATTTCAAAATAAATTGAAAAAACCATTCCGATGGCTATGATTGTGAATTTATTTTCATGCTGCTAAAGTTGTTAATACTAAAATAAAAATACATAAAAAGAAAAAAAGAAGTAAAACAAAAATAAATTGAGGAAACATCGTAATTCTGTAAGCGATTACAAACAGGGCACATAAATTTCTTATATCGAAGTTCTTGAGTTGGTTACTTTAGATGCGTTTCAAGGACGCATTTACTTATCATTCGCTTCTATTGTTGCTTTTGCGTATGTAACAATCACATCCATCATTCTTTGCTATCAATAATCATTCTTTGCTACCAATATGAATTCGCTTTCTTTTTTATGTGTAAGCAAATAGCGGGTGAATTGTATCTAGGTCCATATACTTGGAAGTCATTAGAGTAGAGTCCACCAGTTTTCTAGAACTAAGCTTATGGATCTTTCAACCCAGCTTGCATTTCTGTTCGTATTTAAGGATCCATTTGGATTTAATACCTTTCCTTTAAATTGATGTAATCATGAAATTGCCTATACCTCTTTTCTTCTCTAGGATAAGGGAGTGGCTTCATCCGTCTCAAGGGATAGATCTCATAGCAAGGTAAAGGCCCTTGGTTGGTGTTACTGTTGATTTTTGAAAGACAAAGAATTAGGAGCATGGTAAGGGAGGATAGTTGATGTTGTAAGGTAATTCTTCTCTGTTTTTAGTTGCCTTGGATTTTATCTTACGCTGGACAACACCATGCTCTCTAATCCTCTCAATTTATGTAAATGACATAGCTAGCATTTCCACTATTACGGGACCAAATGCAAATTGGGTTGCAACATCAAGCCTTTGTCCCATTATGTGGGGTCGGCTACATGAATCCTTTTTTGCCATTGTGTCCGGTTAAAAGTCAAATTCTCATTTAAATATAATAAAGAAAGATCATTTCTAATATTTTCTAACCAAGTCTATTTAGGTCTACCTCTATCTTTCTTAACATAAGTCGAATTTAATACCTCAACTTTCCTAACCGGGTCATCGGAAGGCCTCCGTTTAATGTGACAAAACCATCTAAGGGACCTATATGCTTATTTTCAGAAAATTGTGGACCTAGAAGCAATCAGTCAGGAAATGTGTGATCCTAGATGCACTTCACCCAAAATGCTTGTTAGGAGGTTATTGTTGTTAGTACAGTCTAAAAGTTGTTAACTCAATTCTGGATGACTGAGTTTTGTCCTTTATATGATTCTTTGTATATGGAATGCTGTCTGACTTCTTATGATTTCATATATGAAAGATTGATGCTACCCGTGATGAAAAGGTTGATTTTGAAGACCCATTGAGAGCCCATGTCGCAGATCCCTCTTCTAATGTGCAAATATTTGATGATACTTCCAGAAGAAGTCTTTCTAAAGAAGTGGGTCAGTTTTCAGCAAAAGAATGGGCTGTTTTTACCAAGGCTCTGTCGCAGAAATTCTCTTATAGTAATATGATAACGATACCATCGGTGAGTTTCTCAATCTAGCAAACTAGTTGCTGGCATAACCTGATATTATGCAGTTTTATCGGTGTATTTTTGATGTGCTGATACTAGGTGGAAATAGGAGCTCCATGGTCATTTTCTTAGTATTTGTATGGTCTATTAGGTTGAATATGATGTATTTTGGCTTTATAAATAACCTGATACTTGATGCCGTTATTTACCCATCGAATGATAGGATAAATAGATTTTTCTGTTAATTAGCTGGAGGATGCGTATCTGCTGATTATTGTTTTGTATGGTGGTGATTCTTCTTGCCTGTTTCCTTTGCAGGCATTTGATATTGTGTCAAGGAACAACAAAGGTATGCTGGTGTAATTATTAGGTTCATATAATACTTCTCGTATGAATTTGTTCATTTCTACTAAAATGTTAGTTGCTTAATATTAATGATATTTCTGAACCACCACCAATTTCTTATTTGTTTATTCAGAGCATAACAAGTCTTTAGCAGATGTGCACATTGAAGAATTGGAAGATCCTGAAATGATGATAAAAGAGGAGAAGAAGGTGATCACACAACAAGAGTATGTCTCACGATTACAAGAGCTTAAAGCAGAAATTGGTCGGGCATGGAATGCTGATGATCGTATAAAAGCATTGAAGCTATCAATTAAGGCTGGACCCTTTTTTCATGCATATTGCATTAATCATGCTTAAAAGTCAAATGTTTATGTTGAATTTATTGTTACCATTTCTTTTTAGTGTCTTAAAGTGCAAATTGCTGTTTGATGAAGAAGGTTTTATTTTTTCTTCAATGCGTAAAGTTCAAAGTGAAGCAACATTTTTGTCAATTAAAGTGCTCATGATTTGTCTATTGTATATACATATATTCTCTGCATATAAAACTGATTTAATTAACCAAAATCACATCATATAAATATAATGATACATTCAATAATAATAATAAAATGTAGATTATTTAATAGATGTGCTGAAAATTTATCTAAAAAAAAAAACAATGTACATACCTAATTTGACCTTTAGAAGTGAACATTCAACTCCTAAGAAGTTGTATTATGCATAGAAATCAACAAAACATTATTAGTAATATCTTAATTAAATAAATTTTAGGAATTTTAAGATTACCTCATCAAATTTATTTTGTGCACTTCCATGTGAGGTCTTTCCTCCTTGCGTTAGAATCAACCATATGTAACAATCTAATACCATCGAAATGGAAATCAAAGAATCTAATAATTTGAAAGATGGAGGCATAATCAAAGATATAAAGGCAAAAGTGTGGAAAGAAAACTTGAAAATCAAGAACACTTCGTGAGGTCAAGAGTCACTACTCATTGTTGAGGGTTGCATCCATATTAGAGTCGAGAATTTGATTGTTTGTGTGAGGCTGCGTGCGAGAATGGTTGAAAGGATAAAGTTTTGATAAATCTAGAGGCCTAGAGTGAGGAAAATTGAGAGACCATGAGTGAGGGTTACAAGAGATCCAGATATATGTTTTGACATGACGTTAGCTTTTTCTTATGCTTCAAGTGAACTAACAACGCTCTCTGCTGCTTTGGGTGAATTGACATGATAGTGAATCGACAAGTCAGGTGAACTAGAGGCTCCTAAATCGACAAGTTCAAGATTGACTGTTGTTATACAAGTTAAAGCTCAAGCTAATTTATTATGTTGTTTTGATGCGCGGTATCCATCTTTTTGTGTTTATGAAGATAGGTTATGCAAATGTTCTCCTATGTTTATTGTTGCAAGTTCTGAACTTTTGCTTATTGGTTGAGCATTTGACCTCCATTCTGCTTCTGTATGTGTAGCTCCCAAGAAATATGATCAAAATCACAATCAGTTATTTAATAATAATTATTTTTTTTTTAAATTAGTTGTTATTAATTTTCTTGTCCTCTCCAATATAATCAAACGTGACTTGGGAATTGGATTTTTTTTGGTGCCCCGAATGAGCATTTAAGGAATTGCATGTTATGATGCTTGACTTTTAATTGTTTCGTCATACACTTCTGCAGGTTTCGAGGCTTCTAATTGACACATCAGTTTTGCAGTTCTATCCGACCTTGTTCTTGTTAGTCATAGACGTAATGGATATGTTTGGTGATTTGGTGTGGGAACGAATTAAAAAGAAGGCTGAATATTCTGATGACGGTACTTTTATATGTTCTTTGCCAGGTCTGTTTCATGTAACTTTATATTCTATGAGGTCCTTCCCAGATTTTTCCATCTTCTTATTGATATTTGAGTTAGTTTAGTTTGCATTGCTTCTTCTAATGCTGAAGTGCGTTTGGGACGGCTGCAGCTGTCGGTAAAGTAGGTTGCAAAGTTATTGTATAGAAAGTAAATTTTAGAAATTGCTGTACATAAAGCAGTATATTTTGTTTGAGAAGTATAACTGTTAAGTTGCTGTGCTGCAGCTGTATGGGAATAAATTTCCTTTATACCCTTACATACTGAGATGAAAAAAATGATGTAAATGTCAATGTTTTTCAAAAAATATAATACGCTAATAGAAGAACTGATCGATTCAATGTTAGATCACGAAGAACCATTAGATCCACCGAGCAGCTCAACACATCAACATCTAGGTCGGTACTCAAATCTACCAATTTCATAAAAAAAGTATCAGGAAAACTAAACAGAAAATTAAATCGGGAATTCCTTACCTTGTTTCTTGGTTCTCCAGAGATGGGAAGGAAAACGTGCGACGTGTAGAGATGGCAGTGAAGCAGAGGGGGAAAAATCTCACCTTTTAGAATAAAAATCGAAAGAATTCACACAGTAGTTTCTCATGGATGAAAGCATCATAATTAACAACCAGAAAAACATGGACAATGAAACAGAAAGGCTGAAATCCAAACGAGCGATTCCTAAAATCTTAAATAAGAACAACACAAAGACAATGAAGTGCGAACTATAACAAAGAAAGAGAGAGAGAGAGAGAGAGAGAGAGAGAGAGAGAGAGAGAGAGAGAGAGAGAATGGGTAGGGTTTGGAGTAGAGACAGAATCATAGTGAAAGAAGCGAAGCGAAGCTCACCGTTCTGAAGATATGGCCCGTACTCGATGGCTGAGAGATGCATCTTGATGTCCTCAAGGGTTTCGCACTGGCAGAGATTATTGTAGTCGGCGGCAGTGAGGAGAACAGATCGGTAACCGCGCACGATGGCCTCAAGGTAGCCTTCATGGATATTGAACGTCATCGCTTCGAATCCATACATCGTCGCAGAAGATGAGGAATTCGAGCACAAAGTTCTTCCCAAGTTCCCGAGCAAGCGAAGGAGAAGACTCGAGCTGTTTCACGACCCTAATCCTGTTGGCTCTGTCGCTGATGCGCATCTCCTCTCTGTCGCAGCTCTTCGTCTCCGTCAGTCCTTCCTCCGCCGATGATGATCCAGTGAGTGCTCACGTTCCGGTGCTGTGCTTTTGCCCGGCGATTTGATTCCGCTTCATCTACCACCGAAGGACGCCAAGAAAGGGGGATACAACGACCAAGAAACCGAGGGAGAGCTGTGATCTCGCAGGCGGACATGGTGGCCGCGAACATTTGGAAGGTCGCGGCGGAGATTTAAGTCATTTTTCCGCGGAAAGCAGGCAGACCGCGGGACATGGGAAAGGTCGCGAGAGCAGGTATGTGCCGCGAAACTTTTTCTGACGTCGTTCTGCCGCAATCCCCCAAACGACAATTTAATAATTTTATATAAAGCAAAGCAACTGTGCCGCCGTCCCAAACGCAACGCACCCTTAGTGTGAATCAATGTATGTGTTCCACTGAAGGCTTTTGATTGATATTTTATGTTTTCCTTTCTTTCACTTTTTCCATTTCGATAACCACACTTGTCTTAATGTTCAAAAACATTCTACTTGATTCTTATCATTATCATCAGTCTGTTGAGTGCTACTTGAACCGCTAAATATAGTTACGTAAATATTCTTGTGTTCCAACCATTCTTCCTTCAAGAGAAGAACTTATGTAGATGGAGAAGGCTGTTAGTGCTTGATGGCAGCTTACTAATCTATGCCCTCAGTATGGCAAGTACCATAATGGTATGATTGAAGTTAGAGTTCTTTCGAGTCATATCATTGGTGCTTATGTTTATTTGTGGTGATTCTTCTAGGTTTCTTTGCTCTGGCTTCTCTTGGTTGAATGTATTTTTTTTTTTTTTGAAATTTCCAATAGCATTAAGAAAATAAGCTATTACAAACTAGTTTGTGATAGATAACCTATCACAATCCTCAAGCAAAGAAAGAAAATAAGGAGGAATCTTATTACAATTTAGATCTTCCCAAAAAATCTCCTAATAAAGCAAAATTAGCACATAAATCGGCTAATTTATTACATTCCCTATGAGCAAAATGAAATAAAAAATTCCCAACATCCTTCAAGAATGACAAGTCTTCAACCGAGTTATTGTCCCATTTATAGAAGCTTTGTTCAAAGAATTTTGTAGATACTTAATGACATTATAGTTGTCTCCTTCAATAATAATCCCTTTCGCCCCAAAATTCCAATCTTGAAGAACAACATTCTTCAATGCCCGGATAGCCAATAACTCCAAAAAACCCATGTCTCAATGAATGTATTTGAACCTAAAAGCAAGAAGAAATCTGCCCTTATGATCTCTAAAAATTCCAGCAATTCCAGCTTCATTTGAGTTTAAAAGTGCCGCATCAAAGTTGCATTAAATCCAATCGGGTGGAGGAGGGTGCCAAGAAGAAATTGACAGCTTCAAAAGCTGATTAACACCCCAGTGGTCCGAGAAGATATTACAACTTGATGAAGAAAGAGCAATACCAATAGCTCTTGAAGCCATATACCCCACTCCGAGCTCTTTGCTACCATGTATGCGTTATTCTTATTTTTCCAAGAAAAATAAACAGCAGAACAATAAATATTTGGCATAAAAGGATTGGAATTTGTTAGCAGCTTCAGCTTCCTTATACAATCCGAGAAAGAAGATTACTTTTGCAATTTGAATCCCCACATATTGAGCAAGTCTATCTGTTGGATAAGCTTTTCATAGAATACCACAACATGTTCTATACTCTCTGCTGCAATACAACCCCTCGGACAGCTATTAACCTGCAGTAATCTTCTAAACATAAGAAAGTCACACGTTGGAATAGCATTGTTTAACAATCTCCACAAAAAACATTCAACTCGTGGAGACAACTTGATTAATTTCAACCATTTCCACTTAAAGCTTTCAATAGAAACAGGGACATTCGCCTTCATAGCCATAGAAGCCAATGATTTGCCCGAAAACTTGAACATGAGCTCCATAGTATCAACTGCCTCCTCCTTTACGACCTGCACTTGTAAAATCAGCTCCATCAGATCAGTTCCAAAAAACTTAATAAGCTCCCCTTGATCCCATTCTCCTTCTTTAATGAAATACTCAAGAGAAGGAAAATCCTCCTCCATGAAATTAATAAATGTAGGCTACATTGAAAGACTCCTATTAAGAAGCCACACATCTCTTAAAGTATCAATAGAAGAACCAGTAGCTATCTTCCATTTAATCAAAGGCCGGAGAGATTGAGCTCCTTTCAACAAAATTCTCCAAGTGGAAGAGGAGTTCCTTTTCCAATCTCCGTTCCAAATATTATTCCCATATTTGCTCTTAATGTTCTATAAAGCAATGAATCAGAACCATTAATGAATTCCCAAGCAAATTTAGCCCTTAGTGGCCCAGCCATAGATACAGTTGAGTGAATCCCCCTTCCTCCTCCTTCCCAAGGTTTGCAAAGGACATCCCAAGCTACATAATGCACACTTCGAACATTTCCAGGTTTATTCCAAATAAAATCTCTACACATCATCTCCAATTTTTTCAAAATGCTAAGAGGAACCAGTGAATGAGAAACATAAAAAACCGGAATAGCAAGCATCACTGATTTTATCAAAACAAGCCTCCCAAGTAATGAGAAAAACTTGTTTCCCCATCCATTCATTCTACTAGCCGCTTTCTTTAGAATAAAAAGATAATCTGAGGAAACCAGCCTTCTCATGCATAATTTGATACCCAAGTATTTCAGTTCATTTGATTCCTTATAATTGAATATTTTTGAAATGATCCTTCTCTTGGCTCGACCAACCGATTTCCCAAAGACTAGTGAAGATTTATTTAAATTTACTGATTGTCCGGTCCAATTGCAATAATCAGAAATAATCCTCTTTAACTTTTTCAAATACATTGATTTAGCTTCAGAGGACAACAACACATCATCCGCGCATAGTAAGTGAGAAATCTTAGGAGCTGAGGCAACTACCTTGATGCCCAAATCCTTACTATTATGCAAAAACTATTTGATAAAAGTTGGGAGCACAATATAAATAAATAAGGAGATAGCGGACATCCTTGTGTAAATCCGTTTTTTGCTTCAATCCACTTCGATTTAGTGCCATTGAAAAGGATATAGAATTTAGGATCTATCACGCATTCCATCAAAAGATTTGAAAAACCCAATGGAAAACCAAAATAAGCCAACACTTGCTTCAAAGAAGTCCAAGACATACTATCATAGGCTTGTTCCATATCTATTTTTTCAGCCACCATTCCTTTTTTAGGTTTAGAAAATCTAAATTTATGAAATAATTCTTGAACCAAAAGGACATGTTCGGAAAAGGATCTTCCTTTTAAAAATGCTGCTTGGGTCTTCGAAATCAGTTTATTGATCACTATAGCTAGTCTATTTAATAAAAATTTTGCAATAATTTTATAAATAGACAAACATAAGCTTATAGGATGAAAGAGAGAAGGATCTACCGGATTTTGAACCTTAGGAATAAGAACCACAAGTGTTTCTTTCCACTTAGAGCTCATAGTGCCCGAAGAAATGAAATGAGAAAAAGCCTTCCAGACATCTTGCCCAATTAGTTTCCAATATGCTTTGATGAAGGAATATGAAATGCCATCCACACCAGACGAAATATTCTTCCCGAGGCTCATAATTACCTTTTCAAACTCCTCAAAGGAATAATTAGCATTCAAAAGATTTGTATCTTCCAGACTTAAGGAATGGATAGGCTTCGGCCACTCAGTTAGCACACAGCTCCTCTCCCTCCACTTTTGAGAAAAGAAATTGAGGAATGTTTCTTCTATAGCATTTTGATCTACCACCATCTTACCAACTTCATTTTTCACTTGTTTTATAAAATTCCCATTTCTCCTAC